AAAAAAAAACGTGTACATATACAGGCTGCACTTGTCTATAAGCTGCAGGTGCAACTCAAATCACACTGAACAATGTCAAGCAAAGAGAAGCAGACGGATGAATGAATGTGGATGTTTTGCATTGGAACAGTCGTCACTCTACAAAACTAAGAGTGTAGAAAAGAAAGTAAAACTACCAGCTGTATCCCTGAATGATGAGAGACACTAAAACAGCGTCAGTGTTCTCGTATGTTCCACAGCAGTCCTTCTCTATTTCACGTTTTGATTTTCTGACAACATGTAACACAATTTTAATATAATCAGAAGCGTTTTATCGAACCCTGATGCTCTACTTTATATGACTGCTTCAGTTAAAGCTCCTCCTCCTCCTCCTCGAGTGGCCTCAAACAACAACGTGCCCAAAACCAGGTGCTGAAAACATTAGAGCCGATGTGGACCGAACAGAGAAACGGATCGTTGTTCTCACCCCGAGGTGCAACGGACGCCGGCCTCTCTGCAGCTCCTCTGGTGAAGCATTCTGCTGATGTGTTGATGTCCTGATGTGACGAGAGGACCGACTCTACGCTCATGCAAACATGTGCAAATGCACATCAGGCCCACAGGATGGAGAGGAATCCAATGAGCAAGCAGAGAGAGAATTGGAGGAAGTGGAGGCTCTGCTCGCTTCCCTGATGGTGGGAGAGGGCGACAACTTCACAACAGAACAGCTTATTGTTGTGGCTTTTGAATGATTCGTTCGTGATAACGCCCAGCAAGCATTTGCACTTTCAGAGGCTTTTAGGGTTTACATTTCCAGAACTTCGGAGGGCTCCATGAAAGCCAGGGACCCAATCAATCCCTGAGCCGGAGCTTTTCTGTGAAGTTACTTCTCTCTTGTCGTTAAATCAATCAAATGACTACAAGCAGACACGGAACGATCCCAAAGAAATACAGAATGACCACGTAGGGATCACAAAGAGATGCAAAACAGCTTTAATGCCCATAAAGAGATGCACAGTTACTGTAAAGACACGCAAAACAATCCCAGACGGATTGAAATTATATATAGAGAGATGCAGAATGGCTGTAAAGGGTTGTAAAATGATGCAAGGAGATGTAGAATGGTTGCAAAAGGACACAAAATACCCCGAAAGAGACGTCCAGTGAATACAAAGAAATAAAAAGAAAGTCAAAATGATAATAAGGAAAAGCTAAATGATGCTAAATTACTTCAAAGAGCTTTAAAACAAACGCAACCAAACACACTCACACAAAACGATCCCAAAGGATGCAAAGTATGTACAAACAGAGATGCAAAATGATCATAGAACGAGGAAACATAACGACAAAGAGGCACAGAATGACCAAAAAGGGATGCAAAATGACCACAAAGAGACAACGATCCCAGCTCTAGTATATAACACAGGAGTAAGTAAAGTCTCAGATTACTGTCAGCAGCTTTTTAGTTTTCTTTTTACTACTGATGTAAATGAACTTCAGCTCATCTGATCTGCATCATGTGCTGCTAAATACGACGTGTTTCTCTGCTGCTGAACTTTGAGGACATTTGTTGAACAGATGACATTTTGGAGCTGCGAGTGCACATTTATCCAGAGAGAATACTGTATGTGGAGATGCATCAGTTAAACATGAAGAGCAGTTTTTCCCTTCTTGGTTTCCTGCTGAGCAGCTTCAAGTTGTTCCATCTTCAGACGGTGTTTGTTTTTCCAACACTCTCTACATGTTGTTTACACAGAAAGAAACACTCAAACGTTGGATTCATATCCATGATTATATACTTATTTATCATAATATAATATAATATAATATATACTTTTTTAGGGGCTGCAAGGTGGCACAGTTGGAAGCACTGTTGCCTCGCAGCAAGAAGGTCGCCGGTTCGCGTCCCGGTGGGGGCACCGGAATCTTTCTGCGTGGAGTTTGCATGTTCTCCCCGTGCAGCGTGGGTTCTCTCCGGGTTCTCCGGCTTCCTCCCACACAGTCCAAAAAAAACATGTTGAGGTTAATTGGTGATTGTAAATTGTCCGTAGGTGTGAATGTGAGTGTGCTTGGTTGTCTGTCTCTAAGTGTAGCCCTGTGATAGACTGGTTACCTGTCCAGGGTGTCCCCTGCCTTTGCCCTAAGTCGGCTGGGATATACTCCAGCCCCCCCGCGACCCTAATGAGGATTAAGCGGTGTATAGAAAATGGATGGATGGATATACTTTTTTATAAATGCACCACCAAATACAAATGTTCCAGATGTCATGTGTGTAATTTTATATAAAGTTCACAAACCTTCATCCTGACATAATTAGAATCTTTAAAAACAGTTGCATCTCCATCCATCCATCATCTCTACACCTTAATCCTCACTATGGGGGGCGGAGCCTATCCCAGCTGACTCAGGGTGAAGGCAGGTTCACCTGGACAGGTAACCAGTCTATCACAGGGCTACACTTAGAGACAGACAACCAAGCACACTCACATTCACACCTACGGACAATTTACAATCACCAATTAACCTCAGCATGTTTCTGGACTGTGGGAGGAAGCCGGAGAACCCGGAGAGAACCCACGCTGCACGGGGAGAACATGGAGACTCCACACAGAAAGATCCCGGGTGTCCTCACCGGGACGTGAACGACCTCCTAGCTGCGAGGCGCTAACGGTGCTAACCACCGAGACACTATCTGAATCTTTTCTGTTTTGTGGGTTTGAACCAGTGCCACACACCTTTTATGTTCAGATTATTCCTGTCAACAGCTGAGAAACTAAATAGAAGCATAACAATGTGTTACGGTGGGACACTGATTTCAGTAAAATATCTAACTTTGCATTAACATTTCAGCTCCTCTGTAAACATCCATAATGTTGTGTCATAAATCCAAAGCAATCTGAGAGAATTTTCACTGATTTGACACCCTCCTCTAGAGCCATAAAACAAACCAAACTGCTGTTGTACCTCCGGTTTGAGATCTCCTTGTGTTACATAACGTTTTACTGCATTGACACGCAGCGATGTTTTCACTTTTTGTTCGCCATGTAAGCCATCCAGTCAGAGCACACAACCCGTCGCAGCCCTCAGAGCCTCATTTTGCTTCCAAATTCACGTCACTTCTTCTCAGCTGAACTGATTTCCAAGTTATTTATTGCAGCGAGTCGTTGCACATGTTAAATGAAAGTGTTTGTTTTGCTCATTTCAACGAAGTTTGTTTGTGTCATAGTTCAACCTGTTTGTGTTCCTCCTCAACTAATCAGTGCAGAGATGAGTTCATATCTAGATATTTAATACATCTGTGCAATCATGGCATTTTTAATAATTTCTTCAGCCATTTGCGCTCTCGTCTTGGTTGAATGAGTCCATATTGTTCCATAACGCATCACATCAACACAAACAGCAGCACATTGTCCTGGTTTACCACGTCTGCAATTCCAGTGAATAAAATAACAGCATTTATTTCAGTTGGGCACAATTAAGTCACACAGTATCACACTCTGAGATACGTGAGCGATTTCATGATGCACGTGTCCTTGATATAAAGGCTAATATTAGAGAACCTGCTGGTGTAATCATATGAAACGGGAACGGATCTGGATGGGCCAGCCCGTTCTGAAAAAAACAAGCTGCAGCACGTTTTTCTCGCCCTCGTAATGACCAAGATAAGAGCTTAAAAGAAAAGGTGGTGAAATTACACTGAAAATAGCCTCGGGCTCAGAGGGTTAATGGGAAACATGTTCACACACTTCAGCAGGATCAAACGGTGTATTTAGATGAGAACCCTTCTGCAGCCGCCGCCGTTTCTCCACCAGGCGGCGGCAGAGAGGCGACCCGACGCTGCCGGGGCTGCAGTCTGGAGCGAGGCCCAGCAGGGGGCAGTGTGGAGTCGTCCACGCCAACAGGAGCCGGACGGCGTTTGTCCATAGGAGGCACTGTATCCACACCCTTCCCTCCTCTCGCTCTCGCACACAAACACATGCAGTGTTTTGAAACAGGGTTCACTCAGGGCTTAGCTCGGCTTTCTATTTTAGAACTCCACCCTTAACAGCTCTAAATGGACTTAGTGACTCCACCCCACCCCCAGCCCGCTGTGTCGGTTAGCACGAGTGGGTGTCTTTTTAAATGCGCGCAGAGGTGGGAAAGAAGAAAAGACGGGGAGGAACAAAAAAAAAGAAAAAAAAGGGCAAGGCATCGGGAGGAAATGTAGGTCATTGTAGATGGTGGGGGAGGAAGACGAAGACGGAAGAGGACAAGACACCTGCTGGCCTCCCAGAATCCCTGATGTGGGCCGGGGAGACGGAGAGAGTCGCAGAGGGATGAAGAAACAATCTGGATCGATCACGAGTGCACTCGGCGTGTGAGAATGTGCGAGTGTGTGTGTTCTGACCAATCAACGGCAACCATTACAGTGGGATGCTCCTTCCCTCCTCCCTCCTCGCTTCCACAAAGAGGTGACCTAAATACTAAATCTGCCAAACTGGTGGAGAAAAAGGAAAAGGAGCTGCTCTCCGAAGCGAGTGTTGGTGTGTGTTTGTGAGGGAGGTGTTGGGGTTATGGTAAATGTTGCATCAGTAATGAAAGCCATAGAACTGCAGCTCAAAGCTTTATTCTCGCCCGTTGGCATAGCAACCACTGAGTCAAACCAGGATGATCAAAGAGGGCCTGATTAGCCAGTGTTTGTGTGCAAGTGTGTGTGTTTCTGTGCTTTTCTTTCTGTTTAACACACTGTTGGACACGCAGAATATTATATTATGCATCAACCTTCCTGTTTCCATGTAACTGTCAAGCAAATTTGAAGCAAACTTTTGAAATGTTGCAGGAAAAAAAAGTAAATAAAATGAGGAATTAGGCTCGTTTCCATGAACGGCTTTGGATGGAATAAACGAGAGGTTTGCATCGTGAAGCGAGAAGGTGGCGCTGTAGGCTACGTGACTCATGGCTGGAGTAAAACCAGTTGTTTGCCAGCTGCTAAAATACCTCAAAGAAGAAACAAAACCAGTCACCTCGTCCACCTATAAGGAAAATGGAGAGACGCCTTCAGGAATTGCTTTCATTTGGGAAAGTTTATTTTTTATTATGTCAGCGAGCTTCGGCCAAGTGTCACACTGTTGGGAGACAAAGGCAACGAAAGGAACAGCTTCTTTGGAATCTTCTGTCGTGAAGTCTTGTTCAGAAAAGTGGTCAAACTGAGGTCAAATTTCACATTTTTCCATTTCAGTTAAACTTTATTAATGCAATCCTTCAAAATTAACATAAGAATAGATTACGGAAACACGACTAGCGACACAGACTTGTCAGAGATACACGTCGCTGGTACATCAGTGCTGTCTGTTATATCTGTTAGCATAGTAAAGCTATAACCAGCAGACATGTCCAATTCAACATCAGAAGTACCACTTTATACTTTTACATCCAGCTACAGCTGCCCGAAGCCGGTTAGTGTGAAAACGCTAGCTTAGCATTAGCATGGGGCTTAAATAACAAGCTAACCCGAACACCTTTTTCACAAATTCATGCTGCAGAGTTCATGAACTGCTCCAGTTTAG